AAACTTGTATGTCACCTGCACCTCTCAAGCCGGGCTGTGCTCCAGAAGGTCGGGTAAGGTAGACCAGTTCTAATGCAATAATTTACACATATCCAAATTTGGAAATCTCGTATCCAACTTAAGGGAAATTTGAACTCACTCTAGTGTTAAAGGGTAGAAAAGGCAGCAGAAATCAGTGCCTTTGTCTTGTGGTGTGGAACTCCCTATAAATGTGGTATGAGGTGGGAAGACCTCTGAAGTGGACATAATGACTGTTTTAGGATAGTCAGGCCAAGCAGGGCAGAGGCTACATTAAGACAGAGAGAAAGTGTTACCAGGTAGAAATCGCAGTTGTCCATTGTCTGTATTAAATAAACTACCAGCTTTATTGTCTGTGAGGTCGCCTCCTCACTCAAGGAGATTTTTAAGTGCTTGAGGGAGAAAAACCTGTAGGAAATGATGAAGCCCAGGGAACAGGCCTTGGGAATCTTGGACTGGTACCACAGTGAGCGCCTGGTCAGCTTGGGAGACAGATGCCACAAAGGTGAGGAGGGGCTCCCCCTGTAGCCTCTGTTGCTCACTGTCTGGTCCTTTCAGTTCCTGGGTCACACGAGCTTCCATTGCCAGCCACTCTGCTCCAGTGGTGGTGCCTCCTCTGCCTTCTTCTTTGGTTTGTTGCTGTAATCGTCTCCGGGCACGCCGCCTCCCCTGCCACACTTGGTGCCACAAAGCACAGCGCCAGCTCGCTGATGAGAGGTGTGATGTTTCCTTCCCTGTCTCACCCTGAGACTCTTCTCCAGCCACTTCGGGTTCCATGGGCTTCTGCTCAGCCAACTTGTCTAGACACTTCCAAGTCATCAGGGGCAACTGGCCTGATGGTGCAGAGCTCAGCAAGGCCCTGCCCTGAGACGTCTCTCGAAACTCTATTACCATTTCTTCCACCCCATTTTCACTGTGGTCCCCTGCACATCCCTGCGACTTCTCATTCCCCTCCTCCCAGCTCTTCTCTTGCCCATCTAGTCTCTGTCTTTTGTTTGTCCCTCCCAGGGAAGGGTCTTTGGTCCTGGGACCCTCTGACCTGGGCCTCTTGGTTCCCTGTTCTATATGACATCCAAGCGCTTCCTTTAACACTCGCACAAGAGCCGTAACGATCTGAGGAAAGGGGGCAGGTGGTAAGGGGATGAGCTTGGCAGACAGCAGGGAGCTAGGGGAGCTGGGCTGCAGAAGTGGCAGTAGTCCCCAGTCCCGGCCCCGGAAGGAACGCTGCTGGTACTGGAGGCTTCGGCAGTAACTAGCTGCTGCCCCACAACAGTTCTGCAGACGTCTGGCCACCCGGCTGGTTACATTGGCTGCAACATTGTGACTCAGGTCAAAGGGATCCTGGAGATTCATGGGGCCAAGGCGCAGCCCCTCCCAAAGATCAGAAGGCAGGCCCCCTGACACCAGCAATGCACAACCTTCCCGGAGGGACAGCAGGGAGCCCGAAAGATCCCAGCAAGAAACACAAGAGAAGAACTGGGCCAGCAGAGAACCTGGAAAAGGCAGATTAGGAAAAGGGTGTCTGTCACTTAGAAGCCATAATTGGGACATCCCTGCTGCTACTTCAGTAGGACTTTCTTCCCTTCTTAGGGCTTCAAAAGTGTCCTGAGAAATCCAGCTCCTCAGCCATGTCCTGCCCAGATGCTGCTGCTTGCCCTGGAGAGCAGTGTAACTAGGGAATACACCTCTTACTTAGCTGCCCAAGATATGGTTTTGTCATCCTTAAAACAGCAACCATGAGGGCTGGAGAGATGGCTCAGAGGTTAAGAGCAATGCCTGCTCTTCCAGAGGTCATGAGTTCAATTCCTGGCAACCACATGGTGGCTCACAGCCATCCGTAATGAGATCTAGTGCCCTCTTCTGGTGTGCAGGGATACATGATACATAGAGGCAGAAAAAAAAAAAAAACAAAAAAAAAAAAACAACAGTCATGGGGTTAGTGAAGACCGTGCCTATTCTAGAACTTAATATTATTGTTAGTTGTCTCCTAGGTTCCCCAGACTCACTGAGAGGCTCTAGGTTGGTGCTGGGCTCCAGTCGGGACGCATCCTTGGGGAAACTACAGTCCCAGCCATCAACTTCTACCTGCTCCCCTTCACCTGTGACAGTAAGAGAGGGTCAGGCTGGAAGTAGGAAAATTGGGGAAGAACGGGTAGAAAGTGGGGTGACAGTTGAGAAGAGGCTGCGGAGGTGACAGTAGAGGCTGTTCTGCATTACCTGATCTCTGGGTGAGCTGGGCCACAGGAGGAAGCACTGGAGGGTCTCTAGTCTGAAGGAAGTAGATCACTAGCAACGTCAAGGCGTAGTTATTGAGAAGGGGGCCGCCCCCTGAATAATAACCAATAATTCCAGTTAGGAAGAAGTATTTATAATCCCTGGTTCCTGTGCCCACCTTTTTTTCACCCTAAATCCCTCCCTTTGCCTAACACTAGCTCGGGCCAAGTCTGTGCTCTCCTCATTCTCACCTGACAGCCCATTATGCTGAGCCCAGCAGCGTACGGTATACACCAGAGGCCGGACTCGACCATCCATCTCAGAGCAGAGATTCAGGAAACGGGAGTTGTACAAGGCCAGCCTGGGACAATGGAGACACAAAGTTGTTATGGTGTAGGAATTCTTCAGACCTAATATCCTTCTATCTTTCATTATAGACTTAGGACCAGCTAAAATAAGATCCAAAGAGTTTTTCCCAAAGTTTTGCTAAAACACTGGTTATATGAAGGGGAACAAAATAAATAAATCTAGGGAATGTGGTTAAATGATGGGACATTTGCCCAGAGCCTGAGAGGTGGGGTGGGGGGAGTATGTATCAGTGGAACCTTAGGCAACACTACATTCCATATGCTCATTCTATACAGTCACCATTCATAAACCATGCTGCTTATATAGAACTGTTCAATAGCTGGGTATGGTAAGCATATGCCTATAATCCCAGCACTCAGGAGATTGAATAGGGAATATGGAAACCTTGTCTCAAAAGATAGAGGACCAGTGAGACGGCTCAGTGGGTAAGAGTCTGCTACCAAGACTGATACCTCAGTTCAGTCCCTAGCATTCACATGTTACAAGGAGAGAGCTGACTCCCACAAGTTGTTCTCACTACAGAGATGAGATATCACAAACAAACACATAATTTAAAACTTTTTTGAAGCCAGGCATTGGTGGTGCATCCCAGCACTCGGGAGGCAGAGGCCAACTGATCTCTGTGAGTTTGAGACCAGCCTGGTCTACAGAGCAAGTGCCAGGACAGGCTCCAAAGCTACACAGAGAAACCCTGTCTTGAAGAAAAAAAAAAAAAAAAAAACACAGCACTGCAAACTGCACATTCCTGTAATCCCAGGATTCAGGAGGCTAAGGCAGGAGAATCAAGGGCTGGAGGCCAGTACAGAAGACAGAGCAAGACCCTGACTCACGAGTACAGAACATCCCAACAAAAACAAACACTGAAATGGACTCTAGATAGGAGGTGACATAATTGGAAGAAAGGAAGACTGAACCAAAGAAGAAAAAACTCAATTCCACAGGCATAAACCCTCCATGTCAGGACTCCCTAATCATACATCCCAGACCGTAGGAGCCAGCCTTCCTCAACCCCAACGTGAAAGTACCGGTTACTGAGGGAGATGTCCCCATGAAGACCTGAAGGCCGATGACAGAACTTGACCACAGGGCGCCGGGCAGAAGGCACAGTTTGGACTCTGTACACTCCAGGGACACAGCCCCGAAGAATAGAGCCCACAAGCTCCAACACTGCTGCTGCCTCCTCCTTCTCGTCCTTTGAAGCTTTGCCCAATTTCCCCTCTCCCCTGTCCTCCTGCAGTGGTGAAACTGGAGGCAGGGACTGGGGAGAAGTGACAGTGTCAGAACCCAAAGCAGAATCTGGTGTCTGTGGTGCCAGAGAAGACGTGGTTTCAAGGTCCAGGGCCTCAGAATCTTGGAGAGAAGTTGGAGACGGTGAGTCTAGAGGAGAAGCTGGGGTACAGGCCAGCGCCTGAGGATCCAGGGGGAAAGCAAGTGCTGAGTCCACAGATGGAGCCTCTGGAGTCTCTGGAGCCTGTGGGGCTGGCTGTAGGTGGAGATGAGAGGGAGTGAATGCCCCTCCTCCTCTGTCCTCTAAGTACAGGCTTTACTCTACAGCTTCACATAACCCATTCTCAACAGTGCTTTGAAGCTAGCCAATGGTAGCGCACGTCTTTGATCATAGCACTTGGGAGGCAGAGGAATGCAGATCTCTGTGAGTTCCAGGCCACCCTGGTTTACATAGCAAGTTCTAAGCCAGCCAGAGCTACATAGTGAGACCCAGTCTCCAAAAAAGAAAAGAGGAAAAAAAAAAAAAAACAACACACACACACAATAAAAATCCAACAACAGAATTTGGAAATGTTTTATCTTCCCAACACAACTGTTACCTATTCCAGGCCAACTCATTTTCATTCTATCTAATGTACATCCATATCCACATTTCCAAAATTACAGTAACGCTTCTGGCTAAGTACTATTATGCCTGTTTTATAATCATAAAACTAAAAAACATGAGAGTTTAGGTAAAGCATCTGCCCAAAGTCACATGACTGTATGCTCCCCAGCTCACTCACCTGGGTCTCTTCCATATCATCCAGATCCAAGAAGAGGTCCAGATCACAGCCATGAACATCAAAGCTGTTTATAGAAGAGCCAAAGGGATGCACCACACAGCCTAGGTACCAGAGGATACAGGTCAAAAGACAGTAGGGGGCCAGTAAGATGGCTCAGAAGGTAAAAGCACTTGCCACCAAGTCTGATAACCTGAGTTCGATCCCCAGGACCCATGTGGTGGAAGAAGAGAAGTAACTCCTGAAAGTCACTCTTTGACCTCTGTAAGCATGTGTGTCACTTGTGCACACACATAATAAAGAGGGATAAAAAAGCATGTGTGTCACTTGTGCACACACATAATAAAGAGGGATAAAAAAGACAGGGTCTCGGACCAGGAGACCTCAGCGGTGAGCAGCGCAGCTATGGCCAAGATTAAGGCTCGGGACCTGCGCGGCAAGAAGGAGGAGCTGCTAAAACAACTGGACGATCTGAAGGTGGAGCTGTCCCAACTTCGTGTCGCCAAGGTGACGGGCAGTGCTGCTTCCAAACTCTCCAAGATACGAGTCGTCCAAAAATCCATTGTCCGTGTCCTCACCGTAATTAACCAGACTCAAAAAGAAAACCTCAGGAAATTCTACAAGGGTAAGAAGTACAAGCCTCTAGACCTGCGACCCAAGAAGACTAGAGCTATGCACCGCCAGCTCACCAAACATGAAGAAAAGCTGAAGACCAAGAAGCAGCAGAGGAAGGAGAGGCTGTACCCGCTTCGCAAGTATGCGTTTAAGGCCTGATGAAAAGGCAATAAAGTGCAAGACTGGCTGACAAAAAAAAAAAAAAAGACAGGAGGAGCCAGAGAATCAAGGACAAACATCCTGAGGTACAAAGACGGAAGATCAAGCAAATGAAACACAGCCAAGAGAAGACTGAGGGTTCAAACACAGGGGCAGGTAGACCAACAAGGTGTTAGGAAGAGCTCAGCTTTAGAGCAGGAACTCACCAGGGAAGAACTCTGTGAAGACCTCCTGCATCAGGGCCACAACAAGATTCCGAAGCTGCCGCTCAGCCTCAGACAGCTCCCTCAGTTCTACAAGCTTTACCATCTGTGCCTCTACGTCTGTGGCTTCGGCCAGTGCTTGGGCCAGCTGGTGACTATTTGAGTCCACTCCTTTGGGAGACTTGGAGGCTGGGCTCTGGAACTCCTTCTGCTCCCTCGGCCGGACACGCAGCCCATGTTCCCCCAGCCTGTGCTTGGGCTGTGCTAAGACAGCCTCCCGAGCAGTTATATCTCCCATCTCCACGATGGCAAACACCCCCTGGCAAAACATACAAGAGCAAGGATCATGGTTTGGTAATTGACAGTAGAGGAGAATCTTTAAAATGGGAAACAACCAATATACTGGAAGTATTACTTGCTGTTTTTGTAAAAGGTTTTTGTAATATACTTAGATGAGTAATCTCCACTCTTATCCCATACATTTTTATTCCTGGCTGCCAGTTAAAATCTCATCTGTTGCCAGGCATTGGTGGTGTACACCTTTAATCCCAGCACTTGGGAGGCAGAGGCAGGCGGATATCTGTAAGTTCGAGGCCAGCCTGGTCTTCAGAGCAAATTCCGGGGCAGCCACCACTGCCCAGCTCTAGCTCTTTTAACAATAAGAATCCATGGCAGGGGGGGTCCATATGTGGAATTCTGGAGAGATGGATCAGTGGTTAAGAGCACTGCTGCTCTTGCAGAGGACCTGGAATTCAGTTCCCAACACCGACATCAGACAGTCTGAAACCAACCAGCTGCAGATTCATACAATCCAGTGCCCTCTGCTGGCCTCAGCAGGCACCTGTACTCAACATATATACATAACCATACAGAAAACCTTAAGAAAAAAAAAGATCCATGCTGGGGTAAGGTGCTTGCCACCAAACCTGACCACATGAGTTCAGTCCCCTGAGCACAGGACAGACTCCTACACACTGTCCTCTGATTCCCACATGTGCACCATTGGCCATGCATAAAATAAAAAATTTTGTGCACACATAAAAATTTTGCCAGGCATTGGTGGCGCATGCCTTTAATCCCAGCACTTGGGAGGCAGAGGCAGG